CTCGTCCGCCGTCAACTCACCTGTTTATTCTGGTCTCTTTAACCATCTTCACTCCACCCCGGACTGTATAAGTGGACTTGGCCTTTATGTTCTGTTGTTACTTAGTGTTGTTTTACCAGTAAACCGTCATTTTTCCCCCCTAGCACCTGGGTCAGCATACTTGAGTCCTACCTTTGTTCTCCCTCACCCACCTGGTGAGGGGGGGGGGGGGTGTGTGTGACCATAACAGTTCCACCTTGACCAATTACAACTTTATAGAACTGCTTTTATGTAAATAAGAATAATATAACACTAACAGGGGTGTGATTGATATTATTAAACACTTTGTCATGATTCCCCACCCTTCCTCTTATGAACTTTTATTTTGGTAGCCTACACTTCCTCTATCCTGTCCAGCCTGTGTTGGCTCCAGCTTTTACCTGCCACCGGCCAGTTCTCATTACACCCACAGTGCGTTATATGCAGTCAGTGATCACATCCGGCTTGTCAGTATATTCCCCTGTGTTTTCTGGTTATCTGCACGGCCTTATTCTCCTTTGCCAGACTCCTCACTTGTGTTGCTGTGTATTCTGAGCCATTTCTGTTTAGTTGCATTCCTCTGAGTCAGTCATTGAATACTTACCTTAGCCTGCCTTAATTCCAGTGTTACTCATTTTGATATATCCCTGCTAGGAAAAAGTAAAATCTTGATTTCTTACCACCACAACTTTGTTTAGTACCTGCATCTGGGTCCTCAGTTTATAGATCTGGACACATTAAATTTTTACTGCAAGACTTTTACTTGTGGTGACAATATTTTTCTTCCACCACTGTCTACTTTTGCTGTTTACACCATCATCACAAGATCTACAGAAAATTTGAAAGTGATAGTGAGTGTTCCCAAAGAAAACGCATGTAATATACAGTATCTTACTAAATTAGACAAAACTGAACAATACTTACTTTTGGATTACAAATAAGATCATGTAATTTCCACAAAAATGTAATTACACTTAAAGTTTAGGGCTCAACCAGTTTATTTTATTAAAGGAACAGACATCTAACCGAGATCCAGTACACTACAGTCTAAAGGATGCAGGTAATCATGTCCCAAACAATTCATGTAGAAGAGAGCTTTTCCTCTCACTCATGATCAATATTGAAAAAGTGCTAAACATTTAAAATCTAGTCCCTAAAAATCCTGTAGTATTCCAAAGCCCTCCAGTTGCAGGAGCTCTTCAGATTGACAACATACTAAGCACTGATTACACAGAAGGAATCAAAAGCTCTGAACAAATCAAAATCCAAATATTTGAACCACTGAAAGAACAAATCCAAAACTCACAACAAAACATTATGTTACATGGCTCTAAAGAGAGACTAGACACTGGCAGTCTCTTTTCAGAAGCCGAGGCACATCGCGACCGAGTACAGACTCAGCGATCATCAAGGAGAAAGGAATAACTGTCCAAACAGGAGTGAGTACAGTTTGTAATGGATTTCATTACTTTCGTTACTAGTTATTTTTCAGAATTAACTTTACAAAATACAATATAATCATCTGACTTTACTGATACCTGGCTGGAAATTCACAAAATACACAGCAGTACCTCAAATTATAAGCATGTATGGTAGTTAAAATGAGCTCCACCTTTACCAGTTTCAGCATTAAAGTGATGTACAAAAGAATGCGTCAATAATTCGGATCCAATAATATGATATACATTAATGTGAAATGTGCTATTCCTATACAATCAGTGCTTTTATTTTTGGTACTTTGTGTATATTTTGATGCCAGTACTTTTGTACTTTTACTAAAGTAATATTATGAATGCAAGACTTGTAACAGTACTTTTACACTGTGGTACTGTTACAATGCGAGTACTTCTTCCACCATTGCAGTTTACTCAGTAAAACGTGCTTTGTCTCTTTATTCATCATGACTATTTAGGCTTATTGCTATTGATTTTGTTGTTAGTGTGAGAACAGTTCATTGAATTGACAGAGAACGAGAGAGAGAGGACGTCATTTAGTGAGGCCACGTAGTTTAGCATATTATGGCCTATGCAGAGTGTGTATTTACTTACCTGTTGAAAGAAAATGAAGGATACAACCCCCCCCCATTGTTGGAAGGGCACACCAACAGGTCTCCCCGCAGACTTTCATGTCATTCAAACAAACCTTCATCTTTTCTCTCCATGTCCCAGTGAACCAAGTGATTTATGTCAAGAGAAGTCAAGCATGGGCCAGGGTATGAATCAAAATTTGTCAAGTTGGATTTTCCCACTCAGTTCTGTGAATTGATACAGCTTAGATATGAATCCCCCGGAGAGCGCCACATTGCTTTTAACTGACTGTAGCTTCAGCAGAGCAATCAAACCCTTTGTTTTTTCACACCATCCCACAATCCCACCTGCTTCGGCGAGACGATGTAGTGCCCTTTGAAAACAACGAGGCGGCATGAGTTATTATTCTAATTAGGCAAAGTGAGACTTTAGCAAAGCCACAATTACACTAAATCGCCAAAACAGTTTTCTGGTTGGCTGGCTCCTGTTCTGTTCAGATGTTAATCAGAGGCAGCTATTGAGTTGAGTTGCAAACTGCTTGTGAGACACACTATTGCTTGGTAATATCTTCCACAAACACACAAACAGCTGGACAAACAAACACTAGAGTCCTGTACTGAATTACAAATATTGGCTTATTAAATTAAATTGCATCAAACAGGTTGAACCAGGTATGTAACATCATACTACTTTCCAACCATCTCTCATTCCAACAGATGACTTAATGTGCCATGATACACAGTTACAATCTACTGTGGTGTTTAATTTCTGGTCATTTCATAATCTCTTTGAAATTCACTCACATCTGCACATCTTCACTCTCACTCTGACAATCAAACAGCTGCAAGCTGGTATACTCACTACATTTTCTGGTGCAACTCACAAACCACACATACAAATATATGCAATTACTCACCACATGTGCACACATACACAAGTGCCCATTAGAAAGCATGTACACAATTGTGCGTACAGGCTCATATACACACACAACCACACACACACACACACACACACCTATGTGCACAAAAGCACTCAGATGCAAACACTTGCATGCAAGTGTACGCACACATTCCAACACAAACTGCTACTGCACTCGTGCAAAAAACTGATTTTATTCACCATTGATATTCTTCTATATTCAAACTACACCCTCCTCCGTCACAGGAAACAGCAGGGTCAGGAAAATACTACATTTATTGATCATTTTTAAGAGGACACATGCACATAGAGGAAATCAACACACACCATGGGCTCTCAGTATGTATGTCATCCATCCCAGTTGCTCTCATCTCCTTCCCTTGCTCCTTTCCTCTTCCTACATCTCCACACACCACCAAGACACCCCAATCATCCTGCATCAACAGGCATGCAAACCCTCTTCTGTTCATCTCTCTCATTCTCACCCTGCTCTACTTTCATCTATGTGCTTCCACTCTCCTAGCTTCCGGGTAATTACCTGGCATTTGCTTTGCAAAGTCTTCTGTGCCATCCTCAGCTCCTCTGCAGGTGATTGAGCTTCATTTCTCCAGCAGATAAGAGTTAGAGAAAGGAGGAAGGGAGAGAGGAAAAGGGAATTGCAGAAGGGTATGATGTTATTCTGGCTTGCAGGATATAGGAACAATACCCTGAATCCTTTGTTACTGGTAGATTGCTTTTTTCAGAGCATAGACAAGCACTTTACAAGGACATTACAAGTGCTATGGATGAGAAGAAATACACGATTGGGATATTTATTGACCTAAAAAAAAGCATTTGACACAATCAATAATGAATTATTAATGGACAAGATAGAAAAATATGGGATCAGAGGAGTGGTTCTGAAATGGACTAGAAGTTATTTGACACAGAGGCGTCAATTTGTGAAGTTGGGTGAATACCAATCGAGTGAGCTGGATATTGTATGTGGAGTGCCTCAGGGTTCTGTTTTGGGACCTAAACTATTTATATTATACATCAATGATATATGTAAGGTTTCTGATTTAGTGAAAGTGGTTTTGTTTGCTGATGACACTACCATATGGGCATCGGGTGAAAACCTACAGCAACTCTCTGGACGGGTTTCACAGGAACTTGAGAAGATAAAGAAATGGTGTGACGGTAATATACTATCTCTGAATTTGGATAAAACTAAATTTATGGTATTTGGGAATCGTAGACTAGATAATGAACTTCAATTGAAAATTGGGGGAGCTAATATAGAACAAGTATATGAAATTTCAACCATTGTATATATTACAAAAAAGAGCGATAAGAATTGTGCATAAGATGGGGTATAGGGATCACACCAACGTAGCTTTCATACAGTCTAAATTGTTAAAATTTTTTGATTTAGTGGGATAAAAGACTGCAGTGTTTATGTATAAAGCCAGGAGCAATTTATTACCTGGTGGAATTCAAAAACTATTTAATGAAAGGGAAGGGGGATACAATTTAAGGGGTCAGTTAAATTTAAAAATTCATGCTATACGTACAACCAAAAAAAGATTCTGTATTTCTATAAGTGGGGTAAAACTATGGAATAATTTAAGTGTGGACATAAAAAATAGTAATAGAATTGACGAGTTTAAACATAAATATAAAGGTATGTGTCAATCAAGATATATGCAAGAACAGGCTTAATGATTAATTAGATGGAACATTGTGGGTGTGGTGTATGAATGTTAACACTTTGTAATAATTCTTTAGTATATTACTTGTGTGGTGTAGAAGAGAATTATTTATGTAGATACTGCTTGCAAACCAATGATGGTAAGATGATGTCATGGGGTAGGACTGGATAAGTCTGACTTCTTCCTACTCCATTCAAGCATGTACTAGGTATAAGCAAATTGATATTGGATTAGCATTTGTTGGATATGTGTAACATTATGTGCGTTGACATATCAACTGTCTTTACATGCTTGAAAGAATAAATCAAATCAAATCAAATTAAAAATCACTTCAAGTTCCCACACATAAATAATCATCCTCATTAGTATCATATCACTTGGTCAGGCTGTAGCAGAACTACAGCTGAAAAGCAGTAAAAGGAGTGCAGGCCTGTGACTTTTTGGGACTATTTTTAGATCACATTGAAATATTTTGCGTTCATTTGACAGGTAGTAGAGAATCGGACAGGAAACGTGAAGGCAGAGTGAGGGGGAAGACATACACTGTTGCTGCCTGTCAAACAAGGACATTGCAGTTATTTGGTACGACTTTAACCACTAGGCTACTGTGATTTGGTTACTCTTGTCTAGGTATGCAAGTGCCACTTAGTTTTGCTATTCTTTTGTATATAAATCACATAAAAAAGAATGAAAACATTCCACAGTCAAATGTGACATCTTAAATTGCCTTGTTTTGTCCAACTAACAGTCTTGGAGTTCCCCCCCCGAAAAATGACTTAAACAATTAATTAACTGTCAAACTGGCTGCCATTTCATCTTCTGTCATTTTACTGTTTCAGTTCTACTCTTTATTGTCTGTGGATTTTAAATATATCACCTAACAAAATGTAGCTCTAAGTCACATTGAGCTTTTGATGACTGAAACACATCCTGGAAATTCAGTGTTGCACAGTATTCACATGACACTTTAAGATGTGTCATTTAGGCTGTTATGATAGTTTTAAAAGTATGAAATATATCAGTCTCTCCACCTTTTAATTGGAATTATAGTGATGCTTTTGGAAATAAAACCATCATATAGTCAGTGCTGAGAGCCAGATACCTTAAATAGACTGACTTAACTGTCTCTACGGGAACATTGTTATCTTAAATTCAGCGTTTTGAAGGCTAACCCCAAACACACACTCCTTGTAAAATGATGGCAAACCTATACTCCAGAATGATCCACACAGTACCAGAAGCACCTCCCTCAGATTGAGAGCCGATAATTGGCGAGGGCTTATTTGCATGCTGAACGGCGTGGATATTTATTTAAATTTAATTTCATTCCAGCGCACGGTGCACTGTAGGCTTCTGTGCCAAAGTCACATTAACCCCTTCACTAGTTAATATGCAGCGCACGCGTTGCCCACGCACGATGAATATTCATATTAATGGCGTTTTCGCCGCCGTCTCTTCGCCCCTCCCTCTCTCCCGCCCCCGGCTAATAAACGTTATGGAGTCATCCCAGAAGACTCAGCTGCTCTCACAGTTGTTTTCTCAAACACAAATAAACGGCTACGTCTTTCTGCTATTTCTAGCGTTTGTGTCGCTGGACGCCGCCGAACCGATGGCATGTAATGCTCAGCTGCCAAGCAGAGACCGCGCTCTGAAAGGAAGAAAAGAGAAAATGGTTGTTGCAGGTACTGTACATATCCCGGAAGTAACGGAGCTGGCGCGGGATGACGCCGCTGCTGGTGTCACGTGTGAAAACGCACGAGAGCGATAGTTCATGTAAAAGTGGTGACAGGAAGTGGATTCATGCTGTTTTATTCAAGAATAATTGCAATGGGTTGTGGGAATTCAACGTTCAAAATGCTGTTTGGCGTTTGAATAAAGTGAAATTAACCTAACAGAATATTTGTAGCTAATGTGGACAACTCTTTCTTCAAAACACAAGTTGGGTTTTAGGTCTACCAAAATCTGTAAAGTTAAGGCATCATGGGTTTAAAGTATGTTCTGCTCCCAGAGCAGAGCATTTAAAGTTCCTTTAGTAGAAAGAAAAACTGATATGACTCACTAGACCGAAGGCTTTGACTTTTCTAGTGTTTCCATTCTGCAGCAGAAAAAACAGCATAGACAAAATCTTTTTCAAGTGGATGTGATTTTAAACTGTCTTTAGTTGGAAGGCTTTCCCATGAGAAAACTCACCCTAAGCAGGAAAAACTGGATGAAGTACAATGACTCTAGACGGATACCTAGGAGTCTACTTTTACCGTTAGTGATTTCTCCCATTGAGAAACTTAATCTATCATAGTTAGTAGAGAGCATGGTAAGGCACCTTTGCTTGAATATTTTTTAGCCCGTTTGGGGGCAGTGATGAAATTAGAATCAGCCACAAAATGTGAAATGGCCCATTCGGACTGTGTTATAAATAGTTGATGATTAAACCAGGATAGAACAAATCTGTATAGATCAAGCTCTCAGCATTGTCAGACACATAGCAGAGGTTACAGAAAATATGCATCATTTACTACTGTTTTTAAAATGTATTTGCTCATAGTGTAAAGTGAAGTTTTGTTGTCTTAAATTTTTCTTTTCTGTTTTGCAAGTTTCACTTCAGCATGTCTTTGCATTATACTTCTTTTGCTTGCCCATAATTTCATCCATTCTTGATTTGTAGCATCCAGTCAGACCTTTCCCCTATTTTCAACTCACTGTTTTGAGACAGGAGGGCTTGTAGGAAAGTATTTGACCATGGAGAAATGTGGTGTGATCTGGACCTGATGCTCCCAGTCATCACCTACTCAGACATGAGCATCCATAAAGTGCACTGTGGGAGCTGGGTGTGAGTGCATATGAGGAAGCGATGCCGCAGCGTCCAGGGGCCCATCTGGGCATTATGCGCATGAAGGCTCCACCCCATCGTAAGTTCCTGCTCCGTCTGTCAAAGCAGCTCGGAGACGCCGCATGGCAGAAATCTGTTCCTCCCCTTTCACCGTGGGGGGCAGCTTAGGTGGGGATGGGGATATTCTAGTGTGTGTATGTGTGTGTTAGACTTTCGTGTTTGTTGCTGCTGGCCAGTAAGCACGAGTAATTTAGACATTGCAGTGACTGTCTCCACATAAGCCCTGTGCGATCCCAGCTTTGCGTGTGAGTGCACACACTTTGTCTCTTCTCTACAATGAAGATCACTAATTTTAAAAGACGCTCCAGCCTCTTTAATGAAGCTGCTTGATCCTTGTTCAGATGTCCTGGTGGTTCGTCCGTTCCCTCCCTTGCTTCAGTCTGTATAATGTACTCTGTGACCTTGGCGAGAATGATCCAGTGGCAGATTGCTACATGGTAGGGGCATAGTAGCTATTATTTTGAGTCAGTGCAGGATAGACTGCCAATATTTCTTTCAAACAGGAGGGGGAGGTCAGCTGACCAAAATCAATCTCTGTTACATGCTTCACTATAACTCTTTAAAACAGGTTCATGGTGAAGATATATTTCTGGCATTATTTCTCTGTTGTTTTCTCATCTCTGCTGTCTACAGATGCCCTTGCTTTTTTGACTTTTGCAATGAACTCACAGGGGGAAGAAAAAAATATATAAGTAAATGAGAGAGCATGCATAATACTACAAATAGCAGATAAACTAATGAGTGACAGCTGCTCATGGGTAGCACTATGGCCAAGTGATTAACACTGTTGCCTCAGTGTATGAACTTAATGTGAAGTTTGCATGTTCCCTCCATGTTGGTGTGGGTTTCCTTTGATGCTCTGGTTTCCATCCCACAAACTGGAGAATGAATATTATAGCATTCACCTTTCCCATTTCACTCTAGCCCCCTGCAGCAGTGAAAAGAGTAAGCGTTATGGAAGATTGATGAATTTGGTGTGTCTGCACAATGAGAGTGTAAAGAAAAATGTAGTATTTGTATAATTTCCTTTACTATGCAGTTAACAGCAAGATGCATTTATTCCGTTGCACTGACCAGCTGGATGCCATCTTCTTCTTTCCACTTCAAATCGACTTTTGAGATAGACATTTGAGTAGGCCTCAACAGGATGTGCCTCCATCTTGCTAGAAGGAGATAATGGAGCTGGTACCCTAGTAGGTAGTCTTCTCCATAGCAACCGTTTCCGTTGCTAGGTTACAGTACATATGGAATGCATGGATGGCTTGAAAGGTGTACACACTGGAGTGTACACCTTTCAACTAGACAGTTTTCCCACCATGAACAGAGGCGGCTTCAAACATACTGCATGTGTCACAATTCCAACTTGGGCTGATTTGTTTTAAGGCCGCAGCAGCATCATAGCCTCTACTTACCTCTCACAGTTGTTAAAAATGGGCCACCTCCCACTAGCTTTGCCTCTTTCCTCCCCTCCTTTTCTCTCTTTTACCCCACTCTTTCTCGCCGCTACCCGTCCTCCCATGCAGCAGAGGGTAGTTGGCACCAGTATAAAGCACCAGCTTCCTCTGACGACTTGTGTCTGACTCTCTGCCAACCTGTGTGAAGCTAGAAAGTGGAATAGCAAGAGGGAGGAAAGCGGAAGAGAGAATGGATTTTTGGAAGGAAATAAACAGAGCAGCCTGGAAATCGACCTTTCCGTCACCAGTGTTGGCATCCGGGGATAGTACCTCTCCCATGTTTCTGCATGAGGGGGCAGCAGCACTTGGACTTCAGTTTTATGGGTGAGAAATATTGGATCACGGGTAGAACCACTAAATACCCACTGAAACAAGTCAAACTGGACGTCATTATCCGCTTGGCAACACATTGTTGTGTCCTTGACTGCTGGTAACCATTATACAAGCAGAGTGTCAGGGCGCCAGGTCCGATGTTTGGTTCTGGTCCAGTCGCCTACAACCACCATGCTAAAAGCAACAAAAGGTGACCAAAGTATTCCGCTTCAGTCCCGCTGCATTGTCTAGCCTGCTCTGTGCTTTTCAGATATCCTTGAAAACAAAGGCGCACAAAAGAAATTACGCCCATATCACATCCAAGTTGGAGAAAAAATCCTTTTCATGAGTCCTTCCCCCATATTCAGCCTGTTTTCTTCTTTTGTAAGCTCAGTCAGTCACCCTCCCTGCTTGTTTTTTGTCGCCCTCTGTTCTTTCTTTTGCTGGCTTAGTGAGGCAGCATAGTGAGGGTATTCAGCCAGTTCTTTCTCGGTGCCTGTGTGTTAGGTGGGGTAATTCTGGCAGGATGGGGTGTGGGCGCTGGGCTGGCAGGGGGGAATGTTGGGATAGGCACAGTGAAAGGAGCCAGCCTGGCACTGACTGGATCTCTGCCAGCTGCTCCATGGGAGAAATACCCACATCAGAGGTTGGTGTGTGAGCGATTGTGCGGCTGATTGCGTGCTTGTTGGCGTGCACATGTTTGTAAGAGGAAAGTGAGGGATGATGGGAAGGTGGTGTGAGGAAAAGAGTGTGAAGTGAAGATGGAGAGCAGCTGAGAGAGACGAGAGGGCGGGGAGGTTTGGCTCAGACTCGGCTTTTCTGGACATTGCTGTGTCGGCGGGTTCTTGGCTGTCTTCATCGTTACCTCTCTTTTTTTTTGTTTGTTTATTTATTTCTTTGCTTGTTTGTTTTCTCTGTGTTCTGTCTTGGATGAAGTGCTTGGTCTTTTTATATAGTGCCCAAAGGCATGGTGGTCTGACAGCCAAAAGAATCCTTCACTTGCCTCTCTGCTACCCTCATCTGTTGCTTCTCACTGGCTATTTACTCCTTTTATTGTTGTTGGCAGTCTGATCTGTCCTCCTCCCACTCCTCCTCTTCTATAGCACACTTTCCTCTCTCACTCTCTCTTTTTTTCCCTTTTGTCATTTAGCATCTTGAGTACTTTTTTCACTGTGGCCAAAAACAGAGGACAAGAGGGTGAAAGAGAACAGAGGATAGAGACACGTTTACAGAAGGATGATTTTTTCACCTGTCCCTTTTCCACCTGGTGTCACCCTCATGGTCTGGGACTATTTAGCCAGAACAGTCACTGACACAGATATACTTTGATTGCAACTGACTGTGCCCGTGAACATGACCTGGCAGTCAACAACCTACTGCTAAAAGACAGATCTGTTGCACAACAGGAGGGCAGGAAGGCTCTGCCTGAGGGCAGCTATGTCTCTGACATTTCAGGAGTCCTTTATGCTTCTGCAGCCTGTTACTGCACAGAAAAACCAAACAATTTTGTCTAATATTGAAAAGTGCCCTTAAGGTGGCACATTAAGACAACCATGTTTCTTCAGAACACTTGGTAATCTTTAGGGTCCCAGTATGACAAAGCTGTTTTCAGTACTTTTGTGCTATGAGCCTTGACAGTAATCACCTTAAGTCTGTAATAAACTGAAGGCCGCTGTTGGTCTTTGGCCTGTTGTCGCGGGTGGAGATCATTCCAGGCCTACCTAGAAATTGATCTATCATGTCCGTATCAGATTAGAGATTGCTTGTATTCAGGTCAATGTCACACACCTCTAAGCGGCCAGACACCAATCACACACTGAACTTCCATTATTGGTTTGGCTCAAGCTCTCGGTGTGCCCCATGGCCTGTTTATCTGTAGACTAATATTAGTAGTTGCAGGAAAAAACAGCCTTGCTTAGTGGAGATTTGCACACTAAGTCACCACAGTCATCTTAAACCCTAATCCCCCTCACACAACTGCAGGCTACATAGACACACATGTACACACTTCCCTTTTAGCGCTCTAATTCCAAGCAGCACATTTGCCAGTAGCATGCCCCATCACCACCTCTCAGTATTCCAATTTGTTTTACTTTATTGGGTATTTTTAACACAACGAAGATTAGGGTAGCGTTGGGTCTACTTGAGACACCCTCCCCCTGCTTGTGGGGGTTATACGAGCGTGTGCCGCTGACGTGTCATCTTCTGCTCACTTTGAGCACCAAACCTAATACACTCACATTCAAAGCCATGCAGTGGAGTCAAAGTAAGTTCAGAACATTACTGCATGATTGTGTTTAATTGTAGGTATTGAGGAGAAGACAGCAGGGATAGAATGGCAGTCAAAGCTGTGTAATCCCTTAAATGTCTTCCAACACAGAAGCCTCTGATCCGCTGGCCTGGGTCAGGCTGTAACCAAGTGCAGATCTACTGTATGTGACTCAGTTAAAAGAGCTAATGGGCCTCTTTACATGCATACTGTAATTTGTACTGTTGAAACACAGTGTTATGATCTGTTACCATATTTGCACACTGTTTTCCTTCACAGACAAGCATGCAGTCAATGGGAATCCCACTGTGGAGCCTTTTCCAGAAGGCATGGAGACCATCATGTTTGGTGAGACCACACAATCGCACATTGTTTTATCAGAAATATCCCAGTTACTAGTTTGCAGTCAGCAACACATTTTGGTAAAATGTTGGCCTCTCTGTCAGTCACAGCACAGAAGCACTAATACTATTTGCATGCTGTCTTATGTCCAGGTATGGGCTGTTTCTGGGGAGCCGAGAGACTTTTCTGGCAGATTCCAGGGGTCTTCTCCACACAGGTGGGCTTTGCCGGTGGCTTTACAGCCAACCCCACGTACCAGGAGGTCCGCACAGGTACTATACTTTGCTTACGTTTATGAATTTATACACTCTACACCTTTAATATTACATTTATATGAGTGAGGTTGACAGGACATTTCTCTGTAAGATTCAAGAGACCAAAGATGCAATAGAAAAAGAAAGAGAAATCGAACCAGAAAGGGTGTTTTAAGTACAACACTCTCATTCCCTCACTGCCTTCCCTTCATCTGCAGTCATCTACTCAGAATGCACTGCTCCAGATGGGATGCACCCTCATCCTCCCCCCCAGTGACCTACTTGTAAGGATTGGGCTCTGTACTGTGCTGTACTGCTGCGATTTTCCTACCATAGGTTCCTGTGCATGAAGCATATATGAGCTTCTTTCCCTGAGACCTTGATTTGGTGAACATGATGTTGAATTCAATGTATTTGCAGAAACATTTGAAAATGTGTGTCTCAGAATTTGTTTTCCTCACCATGACTTTCATGGATCATGTAGGGTGTGGATATATAATCCAAATGAAGAAGTCTCAGGTCTGTCTTGCCCTGTGTATCTCTCTTGTGTTTTATGATCTGTGAGCTGTTGGTTTTGGGTTGTGCCATTTCCGTGGGCACATGATTTTAGGCAGGCACAACATTGTTGGGGGGGGGGGCTTTGGGGGGGGTGCTTTGGGCTTGGCTGGCAGACTCTCTGAGCAGAGCCCTTCAAGTGATTCTGTTCCCTATCTGTTTGCCTCCCAGTCTCTCTGTCAGCTGCCCAGCAACAAGATGGTCTGCTAACAAGGAGGATGGAGATTGAGACAGATGACAGAGAAAGCAAGATTGCGAGGTTCAGCAAGTGAGGGGATGGGTAAAATAAACTTTTGAGGGGTAAAGAAAATGTGAGAAAAAGAGGTTGCCTGTCCATCGGCTGAGAGAGTGCAGGCGTCGCTCCAGTGGCCATGACGGAGCAGAACACAGTGATGGCATGAGACCGAGGAGCTGTCAACACAGCCAGGGAAGGATGGACAGACTGACAGATAGATGGAACTGCCAGTAGAGCCAGGGAAGGATGGAAGGACAGGCAGCTAGGTGGATGGTCTAACAGAAAGCAATACGAGAGGTTGAGGTGCAGTCAGATTTTTCTTGGGAGGATAGACAAAACAGAGAAGGGGAGAGAAGAAGATGTCATTATCAATCAGCATGTTTTGTCTCCAGTAATTCACAGTACAGTCCACTTTGCAGTACAGATTCAAGAGTTGATGCTTTAATCTTTTGTCCTTATCCACTACAGTGCTGCATGAGGTTAAATCCATCCAGTATCTAAGTACTGGTGAAAGACAGGGAAGAATTGTGGTCATGCTGAAAAGAAACCAGCATTGATCGTTAGTACTCATTGAGACATAAACCATGGTTTCCTTGAGTCACATGTTTTATTAACTCGACCTTCCAATGCAGCTTCTGGGCAGAGATGTTTTGAGAGGGTATAACAATCCCACACTACTTTAGTCTTTGCTAAACTCAACACAAGGGGTTAATGTGAAGCTGTTGAAACATATGGTGCAAGATTTGATTTATAGTCCAGCGTCAAATTTCACCCACTGATAACACACTAAATGGGTGTACCATGCGTGATTGGACTTATGCTCCCCACAGTAAATGTGTTTACAGTCTCTCATTCACTTTATCATTTGTGTGAAAGTGAAGAGGTAAATTTAGTTTCGTTGTTGATTATGGGAGTCTTCCCTGTAGTCACTGTGATAATGGTTGTTTGACTCAGTGTGATCGAGAGCAGTGAGTGTGGTCAGCGGATGGTTTACAGTGGAAATGGCTTTGCTTTATGTGTGTTACTGAATGTTGCCATTTTTAACATTATCCATATTGTTTTCACTCAGATCAGTCGATACCAGCATCAGAAACCTGGAGTAGAAAATACAGCCAGGTCACAATTATAACAGTTCCCACATCGAAGTCTGGTTACACTTTTTGTGGAGCCACATCTATAGCTTCAGTCTGTGCATGTAGTTGCACTAGGCAATTTGTTAACTCATAATACAGACGTATACACTCCTCCCTTTATGAAAGTGATAATATACAGGTTTTGTTGAAATTGTTTTAGAGAGGTGTTGATTCAGCTGTTTGATCATTTTGTTTTTATTATTTTGCCCACCCTATTTATTTAAATGAGGCTTGGTTAAATAACAGGACATTCTCGTTTTTCTTTTCTGTTGTTATTAAAGCCAAGCATTTCTAATATAATCATACTGGGATGTATGAGAAAGCTCACTTCATAAAGTGACTGTTGTCAACAGTAGGGAACAATTAAACAAAAGGGCAACGGGGTGTCATGTTGATCCGGGAGGCTGCAACACCCAGAAGGCCATTCACATTGCTGAAGTGTCCTCCTGCAAAACGCTGACGCTTAAACAGCTTTAGTGCTGCTGCTCTACAGTAAGCTTGGAAAAACATGGAGCATCTTTGCTGTGTTTTTCCAACAGGTCTTGACAGCTGCTTCTGCTGCTTTTGTTTTCCGTTTGTACCGCTTTCTACTGTTCTTATTGACTTTTCTGTGCTGTGACTGCCAGCCTTCAAGCCAGCTCAATTCTGGCCGTGACCATGGTAAAATGTATGCAGCCCCATATGGTGAGAGACTTTGTATGTCAATAGTAAAAAAGACAGACATGCACCGATAATGACTGATAACGTATATGCCCTTAATATGCATTGCATTTTATTATTACAAAGAAAGAGAACCGCTTCAGCAGTGACTGACTGTTTGTTGTTGTTGTATACTTATAAAAACTCCTCATATCCAGCACTAAGTGTGCCTGTTCTGATTTAGGTAACAACTTTAAACAGGTGAGGTCTTCCATGTTCATTTGGAACAAGATGATCCTTTGGGGATTCAGACCGTCAGTGACAGGAACAAAGTGGTTTTCAGGCCAGATGCATGAATTTGGCAGCCTTTCTCCTATTGTCTGTTATGCACCTGATGCATCATACTTGTGTGTTTTGTGTGTATGTGTGTACACCTGTGTGAACAAGAGATAGAAATGGCTAATGTTGATACGATCCTAAGCTGACACCTCTGTATGTTTGCATGAGGTGTGTGAGTATACCTTTTCTGCTGTCTGTGTGTTTGTGTGTGTCTGCATTGATGCACATGCATGTGAGACCTAAAGCAGGCTCTGGTTTAGAGAGTGCCTGCAGGCAACTTGTTGAAGCTTTGGGGTCCTGGCAGCTGCAGACAGGAGCGAGAGTCTGTGTGCTCTTGGCAGCCTCCACCATAAGCTCCAACCTTTATTGTGCCTTCTCTCTCTCCCTCTCTAGGTAAACCTCACTCTGTCACTCCCTCTCTTTCTCTCTCCCATTGTGCCATAAGCAATAACATATCTCTGTTTGGATTCAACCTGAATGTCTTCCAGCTGTGGCACATACACCCAACGCAAGCATGCTGTTTATCATCTCTACTTTGGAGTATTTTACTACATAACCAAACATACAGGCTTCATCATGCTGATTTTGGTATGACCACCATTCGCAGTGAAATTTTAGGGGAAGTGAGGAAGAGTGGACGATGAGCGTGTATAATTACAAGTCTATAACATGTAATTTGATGTTGATTAGTTCAAGTATCTGTTTCTCCTTTAGGTCTGACGGGTCACACTGAGGTGGTCAGGGTGGTCTTCTCCCCAAAAGACATCAGCCTTGAGGAACTGCTCAAACACTTTTGGGAGAGCCATGATCCTACACAAGGTAGCAACACACACACACACACACACATATATATATGCTCACAAATCCAAAAGTCGCTCTCAAATTAGACCCATCCCGAGGGATGCAGGGTGTATTAGAGCAGAAGGATGACGCCCTGACGTGTGTGCATGCATGCACATTGTGGTAGAGGAAGGTCTCATGGGTTTAAGTCAATGTCAGGCAGTGTTATTGTGTCTGAGATGAGCGACACACCAGTGTGGTGCATGTTCAAGGCCCAACTGCAAAAGACCCGTCTCTCTGTGATAGAGCATGTACATAGCTGTACTTTGTCCAACATGAACGAGCTGAGGAAACTTTCCCTCTTGTCATTCATGTCACGTGTGTGTTAGAATGATTCAATGTAGATGCTAAATGTGATCTTTTCCTGTTGAAATACAGAATTTTTGTTCTGTTGGACTCCCTGGATTTCAAAGGTGAGTTTATTTCCTTGATGGTTTTTCTGAAGTTGTCATTCTCGGGGATCTGGTGAAGTTTAAGAAATGTTGCTGTGATGGTGTTAACAGTTGATCTAATTAAAATGAAATGCTTAAGAGCCATTTGTTTGTTCGTGTTCTGATCCATATTCCTACACTACATCCTCTACAGCATGCAACATGTATTTCACTTCATAGCATCTGAATCCCGGTTCTCTCACCTCTCTTCTTTAATGACATGTCTCCTCCCCACCTGTCTCTTGGCTATACCCACCCCATCTCTCATCTCTTCAAGTCTCTTGCACTCATGTTTTCTCTGCTCACTGGAGGAGGTGATGTAAGAACATTAATGCACCGGGAGTGCACAAGGAGAGTGTGTGTGTGTGTGTGAATGTATGTGTGAGAGAGAAAGGACAGGCAAAAAGGTACTCTGCTCAATGTAGGGAGGGGCATGACAAGTTGGGAAGAGATGGATCAAAGATTCATAGGTCCGACCTTCAGCCGTCGAGCAGCTTCCCGTGCACACATACACACTATGTCAGTTTCACCATCTTTTTTGCATCTGTTATGATTGCATTCTCATACACTGTGACCTAAATACACTAAAACACCAGCAGTATCTGTGCATCTTCCACAGCTAGCGAACCAAATACATAATTTGGCAGATTAGTTGTGTGTTTCACTTCACCTGTTCAGCTAGAGGTGGGTTTACAAAAGGAGACAGGAGAAGGAGAAACTGTTGAGGTTCATCTGAGAACCACATCATCTTGATCAGAAGAGATTCTTCTCCTGTTCATTGTAGTAAAGGGCAGAGACACATCATACTAGAAGCAAACTCACAGGCAGAGTTGAGCCAGCACGCCATGGGGCAAAGGCAGCGAGGCCAGAAGAATAGTCATGCATTTCCCCTGACTCACAGCCTTGTCTCATCTCATGTTTTTTTAATAGTGTGCAGCTTATTGTCTATGCACTCCCATAGTTGTTTTTTTTATTTTTTTTACAGTTAAGACCAGTAAACATATTCCAAGATAACTGCAAACTGTAATGTACTTCTTTTTCTGGGAGTGTTACTCCTTGCGAGTGACTTAAATGTGAATCCCTGCCATCTCTCTTCTCCGAATCTGGGTTCACGTGCAGCAAAAATTCCTCTGATTTGACAAATGTGGTGTGGAGTGGTGGAAAGAGGCCCGCTGGCTGTACCTTCACGCATGCTTAACCTGCAATTTATTCTGTCCACCTTAGACCTGGGCTTAAAAGAGAATGGAGAAATTAAGGAAATTTGCTCTTTTCCCTTTTAACTGCTCAGATTCACTTGAGATCATAACATATGGAGGCAAGCCCAGGAACATTCTGGCTTCTCTTGACATATAGCAACCAGAGCTCATTATGCTTTTTATATGCATTCTGTTGGAGTGCAGGTGGCTTTATGTATAGATGCATATTCTGTTGCATGTGATACTTCCTTTTTAATGTGTTAGTATGTATCTGCAAGTGTGTGTGTGTGTGTGTGTGTTTTGAGATCTGTGCCTCTCTGCTTTGCCTCAGTTCAAAAGGGTTTAGTCCCGACAACGTGATGTCGAGCTGCGTCAGCTCCACCAATCTCGGCTTGGATAGCAACATTAGCAGCCAATCAGAAACTCCCAGCAGCCTTTGCTATGTGCCCTCTTTCCATATTCAGCAACACTAGTCTCAATCTGCTGGCTTCCCTGGGATGTTGCATAAAGACCCCCCCATTCTGCATGCTCCCATATTATAAGTTTCTAATGTCTTTGTTATGACAACTCTTCAGTAGCATACCTTCACACATGAGCGCACGGAAGCACCTGAGCACAGCCAGACTTTCAACAGTCAAAGTGTGCATGTCAGAGGGCAGCAGCAGCTCTCTTTCATCTTGATTGTTGAAAACATGATTTGATGTATTTTGAATGATCACTGTTGAGACACAAAAGCATCTTGCTGTTCTTTCACTCACTGGAGATTAATTGCGCACACATTTCCATACACAAGCATACTGTTCACTTTGCATGTGCAAGTGCTCATTATGCCTACTCATAGCTTTACTCCATTTGCGCGTACATGTGAATAGACATAACACACACATACAGCACATGTAGAGGGTGCACATAGCTGCAACAATAGCATGTCAGTTGGTTCACTGAATACTTCCTTGTCACGTAGGTTACGTAGGTTTTTAGGCCTTGGTCCCCCGTTTCTTTCACCCTCTTAGTTCCCATTGGAGAATAGAGGCATCTTATCTGGACACTTCTTTTTTATCCTGCAAGCATGTCAGCTCATCTGTCTATTTCTGTGTACTGTTCCCATAGTCGCCCTACCATCCTTTTTTACTCTCTCTCTCCTTAACCTACTCAAACATGAGGTCACCTCTGTACCTCTTCTCCCCTTCTCTGTGGTTTCTTATCTTCCTTTCTCTTCCATCTTTCACTTTTTCCCCCATTTATTTTTCCACATTCATTCTCGGTTTCCTGCTCTCCTCCCATCTCATTCTCCCAAACACCTCACCTGCATCCCCCACCCCTGTCCTCTTTGCAGCGAGCAGAGGAGCGAGTGAGTGAGTAAACGGCCCAGAGCCCGTCAGCACATCCGCAGAGCAGCACAGTGAGTCGACCGCTCCCTGAGGCCATCCGCTCATCACACAAACACTCGCATCCACTGACTCCTCTTTTATCTCTTAGTCACTCTCTCCTCCCTGCTCCTCATCCTCCCTTCCCCCTTCTTCTCTGCTCTCCCAGCTCTTCCTCTGTCCCCCGCTTCTGCCGCCCTTCATCTTAACAACTGAGGCTTTCCCCCTCCTTTTTGTTTCTTCCTTATTCCTTTTCCTCTCCTTTCCTTCCTCTTCTCTCATCCCCTGCATCCTTTATTTTTTGAGGCCATGCAGTATTTATGGTGTGGGCTGCCGATGCTGCGTCAGTGAACAGGCATCGCAGGCATACACTGATAGGCACACATGCACAACTAAGATGGCCGACACGGCTGTGCTCATTTGATACTGTCTGCACGTACATATACACTCATTCTTGTAGGTAGACATTGGTGGAGTCACATGGCAAAAAAGAGGCATATTACAGGTCTGTTAAACAGGTATGTGCACACCAGAAATCAGTAATCGTGGCTGTTTTTGTTCATTTAAGCTCATTGTTTTTTGTTATTTCATAAGCTCCATTGTGTAGTCAATGCATAAGCTTTAAGAAACAAAAATATGTTATCACATATAGCATAAATGGCTTATCACACATTTAGCACAGATGGGGTTGGATAACAAAATAGACATAAATCAGGCTGTCTTCCATCTGCTAAGTCACGCTGGTGGCAGTTACTGAAATTAGCATGAATATTCCTTTTATATAATATCTTCATCCCAGCTGGCTGCAACACACGCCAATTCCCAGTTGGGGTGCCCCCATGTCCCCCAGTGTCACCACATCCCTCAATTTAGGGGTACCTCTACCGTCAAAAGCCAAACCCCACAGGAGCGGACCTTAACCCCTGACCTGTGACCTCTGCCACCCCCACACATCTAAACCAACCCCTTCCCTATTCCCTTGGTTGGCTGAGAATGGTGTGCTCATTACCAGGTGTCAGTTATTATACCCTCACACACGCTGACAGCCCTAATTTATGGAGATTGCAGCACGTGTGTGTGCAGCATGGGGGTGGAGAGCTGCGTGTCTGTTTGATTATTTTGAAGTTATAAGTTTTATAGTGTTAAGTTATAAGTTCTTGTGGTCATAAGGCAAAATTCTCATCATTTTTTGTGTACTTGTTCATCTTGCATGGAAATAAATACTCCTTCATATAAGAACCTGATTAGGAGAAGTAATAAGGGAGAAATAAAATGGAAACGAAAGGGAGGGAGTAGAAAAGGAGCTAAAACTAAAGATGATTCAGCCTAAAAAAAAAAAAAAACCTTGGGTCCCTACCTGAGCTTTGTTGATTGGACGCAGAGACCTCAGTAACACACAAACATACAGGGGACCAAAACATTTGCAGCCTTAATTTCAAGCGATCAAAACTGTCATTCAAGTGCTGGGAAACTAAGTTGACACCGCACAAAATTTGTTGAACTGTACTAAAAGATTTTGGCTCAGATTTTTGTCTGACATAACGTGCAAGAAAAATCAATACTCTCTTAAAAATACATTGTCTCCAGGGAAGTGAAGCTGACTGTCGACTTCATTCTGGCTAGAGGATTGAGAAGTTAAACATTATTTTATTGTTATTCAATTTGGAACAGTGATCACTGGATAATGTTTCTGTTAACCTCATTTTGAAATTGTCTTAATATGTAGATTTGATCATGTGCTGGAAATACTGACCTGGCTGACTTTGTAATCTGACATCATGGATTTAAGTATAAGGAATACAGTTTATTCTCATCTGTACTAACATGCATGCATGAGTAGAACGGGCTCTACATGTTAGATTCAAATGCAGCTAAAAATAAACAGAGCAAGGGCCGGAGTTGCAGTGCTCTGACAACATGCCCAGAACCATGAAGTGTTCATCTTAGAAAGCGCTGCTCGAGTGGAGAATATAAATGCAGATTTT